TAGATACAGATGCAGATACAGAATAGAAAGACAGAGACAGAATCAGAATGGAAAATCCAGACTTAAAAGCTAGCATATAAAGATAAATAGAAGAATGATATAATAAATTGACAGTACTCTACAAATAGTTGGGCTTATCAGCTATGCAAGGGCACAAAAGGAGATTCCTCACGTGTGTCTGGGAATAGGTTCGAGTGTCTTTCAGTGACACATTTAATTGTCAGCTGGTTTTCGCAGCCAGAAATAAATGTGGATCCAGTTTTAGCCGCTGCATGTCGCAAATGGCGTTGCAGCTGTGCGTGGCAAGTCAATTGGAAAACGGTTGCAACAGCGATTTGATGGGTCAATTAGAAAAAAAAAAATAGAGAGCCGCCAACTAGCTATGTTTCATTTCATTGGGCAATTAAATGTGGCAGCGACATTTGCCAAAGCAACAACCAAAACAAGCTAAGTCCCCAAATGCTTTTAAGCCCAACTCGGCATTTGCTAAAACTAAGTCAAATTAATCGGAATTTTTACTTATTTTATAGCAATATTAATAATTCAATCTAAATTATGGCACGAGCCAAGCCAAAACTTGTGGCAAGGCCAAGCCTCGTTGGATTATGATCAAAGATTCGGCTAATCAAATGGAAAAAGGTTCGCTCAATTACTCAAGGAAGCACATTGACAACAGCTTCGATTATGGTTGGACAATTCTCTGTGCAGCTTGGCCATTTGAGGCCATGTTTGGAGCTCGTTGAAGATGCCGTTTGTGTGCAGATGTCGGAACGCGCTCTCGCTGAATTGCGTTGTCGTTGGCGCCGTCAAGATCTGTCAAGACTTGGCTACAGCATAGAAAGTGAGCAGCCGGCCTGGCTGCTCCACATGGACACTGGCCACGGGCCGCTGGTTGGTTGGCTGAGACGGTTGTTCCAGAAAATGTGGCTGCAGCATGCGAACATTTTCACTGAAACAGCACTTGACTTTCCATGACGCCTTCGCCTGCAATGGCCAGTTAGCCCCCTCCCTTCTCGCTGGCCGCTCTTATGTGTCTAAAAACTGACTTTGACTTTGGCAAATGAATGCCAAAGCAAACAGGATTTTCAAGTTGTTTGGGAAAGTAACAGTGACGAGGCGAACAGCGTCAACAGCTGTTGCAACAACAACTGAAACAACAACTGCAACAAAAGCACACATTGATTGCCTTTTGGTATTAGTTTCAATTTATTTCACTTTGAGTGTGATGGATGGCAACAGCGACAGCTACGAACGTGGCATGCCACACCAGCAGCAACAACTCCCACAATAGGGTCATCAATTTACAGGCTTTACTGTACTCCTCGTAATTTTTATTAGTTTTCTTTTGGTATTTTATTTATTTTTTTTTTTTTGGTTTTTTGGCCAACTCTGGAGCGCAGTTTTAATGCCAAAACAATTGTTGCACCAAATAAATTAAACACACCAAATTCAATTGCAGTCGAAATTCTCGGCCCGAATTTCGCAGCAGTCACAGTTTACATTGGGCGTGTCCATTAGTGTGGGCGTGGCACTTCGAGCACATGGGCTAGAGAAGGCTAAGGGTTGTAGCCATGGCTGCAAGCGTAAAAAACGTTTTTTTTTTGTTTTTGGTGGTTCGGTTCACGGTTCAACGTTCGGTTCAGTTCGTGCATCTGGTTGGATACAATTCGATTTTAATTTAGTTTATTTATTATTAATTTATCATGAACAAAATAAATATTCTTACACATTTTTCTTCGACAATGTCAAAAGCTTTAAGGTTATGTACGAATATTTCAAGCGAATTTTCTGATTGTGGATAAACTATTCCGGCTTTAAATACAAATAAATATATTAATTAATAAAATAGATACAATTTGGACTTTGCATAATGTAATCGAGGTATTCGGATTTGAAATGTGGACTCATCAGGGCTCACTTCTTATTGAATCAAAATGTATATATTATTTAATTATTTTAGCATAAAAGAGAAATACACAATTAGTTGCAGTTCCAAGGAACATATGTGTATCAGGACTTCGAATCGGATTTGAACCAAACTGGTTCTAACCCTGCAGCTCACTATCAGAAAACTCCATATAAGCATTATTGTTCTGCCCGAAAAGGGTTGAGGTTTTGCAAATTTATACTTATTATAATATAAGAGACCATATCCCATTACTTAATTAAATTTGCTATTCGTCAAATAAGTCTGTCTTATGATGGAAAGCTAAAGCCACGCTGTACCTGACTCTGGCAATTCCATTAACAAGCCTTAGCATCTATTTATCTTGTTGCCCTATGTTGCTGTCTGACTCTCTATATCCCTCTCCCTCTCCCCTGCTCGCTCTATCTCCCTCTCTCTCTCTCTCTATATCTGCTTTGCCTGGCTCGTGAAAACGAAATAATACTAACAGGCTGTCGGACCCCTGACAATATGCCAACCCAAATGTTGGACTATAATTAACATTCACGTATCACATGTGTCCACTTTCGCGTCTACATACAAGTTCACCATTCTATGGGTGTGTCTGTGTGTGTGTGTGTGTGTGTGTGTGTGTTGGTGTTGTGGGTAAGCCACCAATAACGACCCAAAACCCTTTGGCGACACGTCGTTTTTAATAGTCAAAGTGACACGCTAAGCTGATTAACTCTAATCTAAAGTAGAAACTCGCCCACCAAAAGAATAACAGGAAAACGCAAAAAATGAAGAAGGGCAAGTCCCAGAAAAAAAATAGAGAGAGAGAGAGTGAAAAAGCGCAGCCCGCATTGCCACTAACACTCTATTGCAAGAAGAAGACTCATGAGTAGGACAAAAAAAAAAAAAAACACAAGCTGTTTACATTTGTCAAAGATTTTTGGGGAAAAAAATGTAAAAGGAAAATGTGTGCGAAAAAAAAGTGAAAATAATCAAATGCAATTCAAGTCTTTACCAGGAGCGCATTTGGCATACCCTTTAAAATAATAATATTGGATTACTATTCTAATAATTTTCTATAGTTTTCTTCATATTTTTGGCAATTTAAAATAATTGCGCAATACACAACTGTTATTTAAATCAGTTTTAACAGCATTTAGCCAGTTAACAGATTGATGTTTACATATTCTGTTAATAATTTTCAAAAGATTCTCCCTAAATTTAGATGAAAACAAGGAACATTTATAAGCTTTACATTAAAGCCTACAAACGCAGAGCTTGAGTAAATAAAGCATTAAAATGTTTAATTGAATATGCATTAAGAAATCCAAATAAATTATAAGTACGGGACTAAAGACTGCTAAGCTGAAACATGTTTAAGCATTATACTTACAGCAGCAAGTTAACAAAACTACGTTAAGAGCCCAACTTTAACAGATAGTAAATAGCTAAATGCTTTACAGCCTTCTGGTTAACAGTTAACTGTTAACAGTACTTTGGCATATCCAGTAAGCTCTGATGTTAGGCTAAGAATAAATTTAGCTAGTCAAAATATACGAGTGCAAGTTTATACCCAGAGTTAGGGCGTAAGAATGTCTGGCGTTCCACATGCACATAGCATGGCATCGCCAGCCAAAGGTCGCATCCAGTCAGAGCCGGAGCCAGTTGAAGTTGATGTGGGACTCGAAGTCGGACTCGTAGTCGGTGCTGGAGTCGGCGGGTCCCAGGGATGCGGCTGTTTGCCTGTCTGCTGCTCTTATCTGTTCCTAATTTTATTCTATGTGTTTTGATAGCGCCCGCGTCTCATGTGGCTGCTGTCCGCGAATTCCGTTTGGGATTACGGCCGTGTCTTTAAATGCGTTTGCTGTTTTGGGGCGGCACAAGGACACTTGAATAAGCGGCTTCATTTTGTTGCACTTAAGTTGGAATATAGCCAAAAAGTCAAATGATCGACCTTCCCTTCGGTATATATTGAATATCAGCTTTGAGTTGTTTTGTAACTTATCTTAGAGCCTATAAGAGCTAGAGACACTAAATGTGATCTAGAATATCTTTCTTTTTGGTTTCCCCTCAAAAATTGGGTAATGCTAAAATATGTCCAGGGTCAATACCAAGGTAACACGAAGTCAAAAAATGAGCAGAATATTCTGTTGTGGGCACAGGTACACATATCAGGCCTGCTATAAGACTTATCAGTTTGTAGAAACTTACTTGATAATCCACACGAAAAAAGGAATACAAATTTCAATTAATAAAACCTAAAGTCTCGTCCGATAGGTTGAAAACCTTTATTCAGCGTTTTTGGCAATTCCACTCAGCATGTCGAAAAATGTGCGAAAAACTTTTCTATGTAGTTTTATATATATCGATTCAGGTTTGAGCTTAAGATCGCTTGAAGCATCTGTGCAAATAAATTTTAGACGAGATTCGTCAATCGCAAAGAGTCCATTGAACTAAGTGGAAACAGGAGCGTAAGCCAGAACGGAACAACAAACATTTTTCGATGGACGGAAAATGAGTGGAAAATGTGAAATCTTTAATTAGAAGCAAACGTATGCTAATTTATAATATATATAAATAATTTTATACATTTATATATTTATAAGGCCTGATGTGCTTCACAATATTCAAATCAATCAAGTTTTCGACATTCATCGAAATATTGGAACGTAACTCCCATATTATGGGCATTAGTTTAGATAAATTTCGCAGCTATGCCAAGCGCAATGACTGTTGCACTCATTATTGGAGCCAATTTTTAGCTTGAGGCTCATCAGTTGCAACTTGCAACCTGCTGGTTGAATAGACGCCGCGGCGCGGAGGGGCGATGCTGTGGCATGAAGTGGGATGGAGTGGAGCGGGGCGGTGAGGGGTGTCATCCAACTGTTAAACAGTGGCCAAATGCAAGTCCATAATTTGGCGCTAGTTTTCACCACACGCAGTGGAGAAAAGTGGTCAAACCTGTGTCTGCACGAGGCGCCACGATTTTCCATCGGCTTCGGCTGTCGCTGCTGCTGCTGCTTGGCGCCGACGTCGCCGTCGCAGCCGGCGTCGACGGCATTATCAAGTCCAGGCAGAGGCGGCGACTTCAGTCGCAAGCGAGCGCTCAGCGTGTGAACGTTGTGTGCCTGGCAGTTAGAGCAGTCGAACAGTAAAACAGTCGAATAGTCGCAGTCACTGTTAGCAAGCGTGAACAGTCACTGAGTCGCAGTCACCGTGAAGCGTCGCGTGCTTTTTCCGTATGTTTTTCTGCTTACACTTCTTCGTTTATTTTTTTTCAAGTGTTTTTCAAGTGATTTTCGCGCGCGTTTTTCACGTGCCACGTGCTGCGCGGCGGCTGCAATTTGTTTGTTGTTGTTGTTTGTGTGTTGTGTGTTGTGTGTGTGTGTGTGTGTGTGTGAGTGTGTGTGCGCTAAGAAGCCGCTGCAATTTGCAACTTGAAGAATTGCGAATAACTAAATTTTGCCACTTTTTTTTTTGTATGTTTAAGTTAGTGAAAGTGTTTGCTATTTCTAAAAGCGATTGTTAATTAGAGTGAAGGGGGATGATGCGAAGGGGGGGGGGGGAATGGGGCGGTAGACAGGGGGCCTATCTTTGAAAACCCGTTAGTGAATTTTGCTAATTGCCAGCGAAATTGCAAGCAGCTCAACTTAGCACAAACAAATTTCAAATGTTTCCGAAAACAAAAAAAAAAAAAAAAACGAAAACGAGGAAACAAAATGAAAAATAAATTTTTACTTAATTTAAATAAAGCGTAACGCAAAAAAAGTTTTCTAAAAGGTTTTTTGTTTATTGTGCTCTTATTTTGGCAACAAAAATAACTTTAAAGTTATTTTTCATACAAGCTCAAAGCAAAAGCCGTGTGTGTGTGTGTGTGCGAATATTTTAAAGTTAATATTTCAATGAACAATTAAAGTTTGGGGTACTTTTTTTGTCGTTTTTTCATTCCTCATAAATAATAGGCCAAAAGAGTTAACAAACTGCTTAAATTTTTGCATAATTTTGTGAGACTATATATTCCTGATCCGTATGAGGAACTAAACTTCACAAAATGTGGAAATGTGAAATCTAAATTTTGTAGTAAATTGTGTAAAATGTTGTGATGCATTTGTTTGATGCTCTCGACCATATTTAACATTGATCGAGATATTGGAAGGTAACACCCATGTTAAAGACATGTCTGCATGTTTCTTATCTTCCTTTCGAGGCTATGAAGAAAATTTATTAAATCTGGCATAGATATTTGCAGTATTACAATCGCGTATAATCAGCATCGTATATGCTTTTAACATTTGTGCTCGTTTTTCATAGGTTTCTCTTGACAAAACTTGTTCAAATCTGTTGCAAAGATATAGAAGAAGTTTTTGTTTTTTTTTTACTCAATACATTTTGCTGATGCCTCGACGGGCTGTCTGCAAGCAGTCTAGCCACTTATTTTTTTAAGTCCATTCTTATTCATTACTCCTCTCTCTTTCCTTCTGCTTTGTACTTGTCTTTGGTTAAGTTATCTTCAACATTTTCTTCGCCATGCTTTCTAGCCTCTCTCCTCTTTGACTTTGCTTTTATACATGCTGCGCTTAAACCGTTTGCGAATTATAAACGCATTTTTAAAAACTAGTCTGTTTTTTTGTTTTCTTGTAGCTCACTTCCATTTGCGGTTTGTCATTTCAGTGGTAATCAAACCGCATTCGTTTTTGTTTGTGTGTGGCTTTCACTGCCAGAGGCTTTCCTGCGACAGGCTCTTCAATTATATTGTCACTTTTTTATACCCTGTAAACCAACAGAGCTAGAAGAGGTGTAGCATTGAAATGCCTGATTGAATGTTACGAGATAAAGCTAATTTTTCAGCGTCGATAGTAAAATACATCTATATATCCGTAAGACTCAACTTATTGAACTTGCGATCTTGAGATTTCCCGAATGACTTTTGCCGAATATAACTTAATCTTTTTCATTTCCTGTTAAAATCGTTAAAATAATAACATTTATTTCATGGCTGACTTTTGTGACATACTCTTCAACAAATAGCGCTTTGTCTTTTTAATATCAAAGTTGAATCCATTTTGGTTAACCTTTTTGTCTAGCTCCGCAATCAACGTCTTTACCTCAATTTTGGCTGTGAAAATTCCATTAAGGCCGCTTTTCTCTGTTTCTTCTTCCATATTGAATGCTTAGCGCATTTCTTTGCATTGAAAATCTTATTGTCATTTCATTTGATTAAAAATTTCATAATGCGCATCCTCTGAGCATTTGTCAACTAAGTACAGCAACAACAACAACGTCAAGACAACAAAGCGAGTCTCTAAAATTTTGCGTGTCCCGCAGGCTACAGTTGTGTGTGTGTGAGTGTGTGAGTGTGTGTGTGTGTGTATGTATATGTAAGCTTCCTGTTTTTGTGTGTGTGTGTAGGAGGAGAAAAATGTGCCGCAACATTTGCGATTAGCGGCATTTTTTCGCTCCTCGATTTTTTGTGTCGCCTTGTCGCGTTTACTCATTTGCTTGCATTGTAGCTGCGCGAGTTATACCCTGTAATTTTGAAAATTTCTTCAAAAAGGCATGACAACTTGGTGCACAATGCACCGTCACAAGATTAACGTTGGGCATGAAAAAGTGGTCGGAAAGCCATGCACATTCACCGAAAAAGTTATTTAAAATATATATTTCGATTCATATATGTGGATATATTTAAATGTATAGAAGATATCTTATGGTATACCCTATCAAATATTAAGTTTGCTAGGAAAGGGCATGAAAAAGTGGTGCAAAATGCATTTGCTGACAGATAAAAATGTTTTCGTATATTAAACATATTAATACGCTATTTAGTTGCTTCGCTATACCCTGCATGCTGTGAGTGTTGAGCAACTGAATTACAGGGTATTTGCTAGCAGCGCACACACAAGTCGCTGCCCTTTGTTTACCTTTGGCACCAACATTTTTACGCAGCCCGATATACGTTGTATTTAGATGGCAAATTTTTTTCTGGCTAATTTTAATTTGATTTCCATTGGCAAACAATTTTAGACGGAACAAAGTAAACGAAGGGTACCCGAAAAAAAAAAAAACAATAAAAATAAATTTAAATAAAATGATGCGCTTATAAAATGCCCAATGCCTCCACCCACTGCATGAGCTGAACTCAAGAGAGACAAAACAGAGAGAGAGAGAGAGAGAGAGAGAGAGAGTGCCAGAGAAATGGAAAATTTGAACAACGACAATTTTGCCACGTTGCAAATATAAATTGCATGTGCAATGACTTTATTTGTGTCAACACAACTCGAAAACTAAACAAAAAAAAAACAACAAGAACAACAGCAACAAAAACAAACAACATAAGAAACAAAGCCCATTTTATTCGCATTGTTGATCAACGCTCAGCAACAACAACAACAACAACAACAACAGCGGCAACATTGAACAACAATTGACATCACGCATACGCAGCGTTTGACGCCGCATTTTTGCTGCAAAACGCAAAAATTTTGTGTGTTAATTGGTCGTGGCGAATGGGTAAGTGAAATTTCTTGTTTGTTTCACACTCGACTTAAACACACACACTCGCACACACACTAACACACATTCGCACACACACAGACAGGCACACGCACACTCACGCACTCGAACTCACACATAGACAAAATATAGTTATTTATTTTTGCCGCTTTTTCTCGCATTTTCATTTTAGCAACAATTTCACTGTGAAAATGCTTTTCAAAGTTGCCACACAAATTTGAAATGCGACTCGAAGTAAATGCAGAAAACGCTCGCATTTCGTTCTCTGTTCGCGAACTGGTTCACGAAAATGGTTCACGGCTCAGTTTTGAACTTTTACGAGCTTTGTCTTATGTGATAAAAACCATTAATGCAAATCGATTTCAATTCGACAAACTCATATTTAATTGGCCCAGAACTGCAGCTGCAATCGGATTAGTTTGACAGAGCACAAGCATATGCAGGGTATATTGAACTTATGCATGTGTTTGTAACAGGCAAAAGATACTTTCTCTCGTGCCATAATCATGTTCTGGCCAGGCATCTTCAGTTGAGTTGATTTGGTCGACTTTTCATATGCCGCATGCAAAATGAGTATATCGTTTTTGCTCGACATATCGATATTTATCGATTTTAAGAGCCTGTTTTTTAAAACATAACTCGACAACTATAAGATCTAGATACACCAGACTTTGCGTAAAGATTCTTGTAGTACTTATACAGATTACAAATATTTCACTTTTTTTTTAATTGCCGAAAATTTGATAAGCAATGTGTGTAGGCAGAGTGCCATATGTTAATCATATTGAATCCAGAGAATAATTCGCAAAGTTTGAAAATTAAATAAACCCAAATTAATCAAGTATGCCATTCACCACAGCGTGGGATCAGAGAAAGAGCTAGCATGATGGTCTATGGGAAACCACATATTACATATTCTGTTGCTATATGTTCGCCATCTCTCAAATAGATGTGCATCTATTTTGTATAGAAATTACTAAGAAGAAGAAAAATAAGCAGCTACATCTATTTCCAACTAATCTGTATTGTAAATGTTCTAAACTTGATTTAAAAAGTGAATCTCTGTAAATTTCTTTTTTTCTAGATGTGATTTTTCTTTTCTCTCTACCACTCTTTCCCTCTCCCCCCTTTCTCTCTCTCTCCCCCCCCCCCCCCCTCTCTCTCTCTCGCTCTCTCTCTCTCTCTCTCTTTCTCTCCACGTAAATGAGAGTACGCTGTCAGATGCAAATGTTGCTTTCGGTTTTTGTGTTGTTTTGTAAATGAATTTCGATTGCATCGTTTTTGCTGGCAATTTGCTGATTTGACGATTTGTTGTTGCTGTTGAAGTTGAAGTTGTTGTTGAAGTTGTCGTTATTGTTGTTGTTGCTATTTGATTTCTATCGAGTGTTTTTAAGCAAATGTTATTCAATTAAACAAATTGTTTTGCTTGGCATTTTCATTAACAATTTCTATGACTGTTGGTTTCGATTGCAATTTAATTTCGTTATGGTTTTTGTCTCTTTATCCAATAACCAAAAGCATTTACCCAATTTAATTCAATTTTCATTACGATTGCCACACACACACACACACCCACACACACACACACCCACACACACACACCCACACACACACACACACACGCGCACACACAAATTGTCGAAATACCTTGTGAAAAAAATATATATGTTCGGAAATGGATTTCCTGTTCATTTTGCAATTGACACACAAAATTGCATATATTCTAGATTTATGTCTGGACTAATAGAGAAACACTTCACATCCATAACGTGATATATAGCCAAATTTATATATAGTTATATATATACATATATATATATTTATAGATGTGTATGTGTGTGTGTCGACGATTCGACCTCATGTCAAGTGTCGGTGGCTGTCAAGCGTTTGACAATTTATGCTGCGATTTGTTGAATTCGATTATTATTTTTGTGCTATTCAATTAAATTGTTTTTACACAAACTAAGCAACAACAACAACAACAACAACAACAATTGAAGGACTTAATTACGCTGCTAAATATTGGCTCATGTTTTAATTATGAAATTAATACCAATTATATCGAGCCGTGTGTTTGCCCAACTCAACTGATTATTTTTTTGCTGTCATTTATGCCCATTAAAAATAAATCAAAATTCAGTTTTATCTTAAATGTTAATTTGTTAATTTTAAACATGACAAGCCCCACACTAGCCAACGGCCCGCCTGACGGCTAGATTCCTGCATCTGATTTTTCACATCATGGGACCTAGATTTTGGTGCTTCCCCTCGACTTGCTATATTTGTCCAGATTTAAATGAACTATTCAAATGATTTTATCAAATAAAATAAAAGTAAGAATATGTAATGCACTTGTAGACATTTCTCTTTTACAGATGAGTGAGAATAGTAAAGCTCGTAAATGCTGAGTTTGATTCGATCTATTGGTAAACGAAATATTTTTCCCATTTAAGAAACTAATTTTCAAACGATGTTATTCAAATTTTCCATGATAGTTATCTTTGGGTTTCCATATGAGAACCAACTTTTCGACCAATTAATTGTTCCTACGACAGCTATATAATATAGTATTACGATGTTGATAAGATTTGGCAACATGGTGGCAAAATGTACCTCGAGCCGGTCAGCTTAAAATTGACTTAAAAGAACCTGTCAAATGTGCTGTGATCTCTGAAGGTGCCTCAAGCCGATATTTTGTTAAATTTTTTTCATAAATAACTTTTATTGCTTGGCTATGTCTAAATGGATCTAGCTAAACTCGCCATAAAATGCAGCTAAATTAATACATCGAAAGTTAAATAAGCGACCACAACCGGGACCACGCCCACTAGCGAAACGCCTCACAGTTTTTCTAGCCCATCAGCGGAGAGGAGGAACATGCCAGCAAAATCAGCGAAGCATTCGAAATGCCTTTCAATTATCACGCGGTAGCTAAAAACCAAAAAGTAAATAAATAAATAATAAAAAAAGGTTTATAAATAAATGCATAAATAAATAAATAAGCACATAAATCAGCTGTGCGTGAAAAGTTTACACTCATCTGTGTGTGGGTGTGTGCGTGTGTGTGGCTGTGTTTTCCTCATAATTAAATCAAAATATAAAAACTGCCAACTGCAGTTTTGTGAAAATTCAAATAATTATTTCTCTGTTATCTGAGTAGCTGAATTAACATTGTTTGGCCAATATTTGCCTTCTGTTGCGATAAATGTATTACATTCATTTTCTTTATTCATTTTTATTTTTTTTTAATATTTTTATTAAAATCTGCCGTTAGATTATACTCTGATTGTGTCTATGATTTCGCTTTGATTTGTGTTGCCTTTGTGCCTCAAATGACGTTCAATCAATATTTTGTTTGTTAATTAAATGATATTGAATTTATGTTCGAATTTTCTGTTGATTTAATCCTTTCAACCGTTTACAAATTTCATTTTCTAATGTCTTTTCTGAATTTAAACTTTGTTTTTTTTTTTAACAGCATTTGCTTTTTTATGCAATACGTATATTTTAAACAATTAAACAAAGAGCAAAAACTTAAAAACTTTTAATAATAGCTGAAATAAATAATATTATAGACATTTTAAGTTTTTTCTCAGACGCATAAACATTTATTCAATAAGGAACACGGAATGAAATTGCTTTCAAAATGTTCTGATTAAGCACAACTATTCCCAATTGCCAAAGTTATTTCTAAGCTCAAGGGAGTAGAAAGTTATTGCTTCTAATTCGCAAAGTGTTAAAGCATATTTAAGCTTTATTTAGCGACAAAGTTTGTTCGAAAGCTAAAAACAAATTATGATAATTTCTCGAAATGTCTTTTCCACTTAGTTTCGCTCAAAGCTCAAAGACTTAACTTCATTTTCTTTCTGTGCTTTTGCAGAGATGAGAGCTAAATTTATATACATAAGCTGCAACAAATAGCTGTAGGATCACAATGAATTCCGTATATAACAAAGCTTCTGCTGCGCCTCATTCGCAGCTAACGTGAAGAACAAACTCGCAACGACTGGTTTTCGTTTATAATTCGCAAACGGTTTAAGCACTGGCTTGAGCAGGTGCCTTGACGGCGGATGATGATGATTGCCAGGCACAAATAAGCCACTCTTGTAGTTGTTGTTGCTTTGTTTGATTTGGTTTCCAGTAACAAAAGTTGAGGCAGGCACAAGCAAAGCCCTGGCTTAGACAACTTTAGTTCACTGGCAATCAGTGGCTTGGGCCTTGGCTGGGGTGGGTTAGGCGCACATTAAGGCTACCTGGGCTACCTGGGGTAAGCGCTTTAAGCCTTGACAGCAACAAAACAGATTGCCACGCCTGTCGGCCCTTTGATTTGCCATAGCCCCAGCACCTCATTGTTGTTGATGCTCCTGTTGTTGCTTTTTCTTCTGGTTCCTTTTTTTTCATTTGCTCTTTTTTCGCACTTCATCAAATTGACTTGGGCAAAGTCTGAGCGGCACCCGCCTCCAAAGCCGGCAACTAAATGCGCAAACACATGTTCTCAATAAAGTTGTGACCAGGTCTGAGTGTGTATTTGTATGAGTGTCTGTGTGTGTGTGTGTGCTTGTGTGTGTCTAATGTATGTATTTGCATCTATTAGTGTGCGTGTCAAACATGCCCGACAACGACGACTGAGCTGAGGCAGGGCCAAAAACTCAGCAAAAAGTTTTGGCTTTGGCTCTGGCTGTTGCCCCAAGGCAGCGAACGGGCTAAAAGCGAGCCGAGCCAGGTGAAAGAGGGGGATTGGCCAAAAGTTAATGCTGGCCAACAGCTGCAACGGCTGGCAAATAAATATTTATAAATGTGCGTGTGTAATATTTCTATTTGCCTGAAATGCGATGCAAAAATGTTTCAACAAACTTTCTGCAGCAAAAAAAGGCAGAGCAGACCGTAGCTAAAATACCCTACCAGCTGATATTGGTCGGCTTTGCACGGCTCTGGTGTTATTCTTCAAATTGCAGCTCAAATTTCCACCTATTTTCCACCTGCGAGGCTGAATTCAC